ATAAGAAACTTAAGAATTCAAATAGATCCATTTAAGTTGCATTAGATATATAAATTTTTAACAAGAAAAATGATCATATGCTTAGAAAAGCAAAAGAATCAATATCTGCCTTTATATTCTTATAATATTGATCTACATAATTCTATCAATATCTAACTTTAAGCTATTCAAAACCTTCTACCTTTTCATTTCTAACTAGCAATCCAATACATTTAGTTATATAAGTTTTACACAATCATATTCAAACTAAGATCATCAATAATATTAGATTAGATAAATTTAAAAGTAAATTAAAAAAAATTAATGATGTATATAAAAATATAATAATAAATATTAAAAAGACTATTAATAAAAAATTTTCTTACTTCATCAAAAATCAAACTCCAAGGATGAAGTCTAGATACCTTGAATTAAAAATTTATACCTTTAGATTGTAATGCATAAATTTTTGACAAGTAAACTATTGAGAAAAATTTTGTCTATAATTTCTACAACAACCATTTATAAAAGAAAATAATTTCAACTTTATAAGCTTTTACATTAATTAAAATAAGTAGGTCCAAATTTTTCTTTAAATCAAAAGAATAAAATGACACCTTTTCTTACTTGCAAAAAGCCACATCAAGCATGTTAATGTTGGATTGAGAATAAAATTATTTGTTCTAATTATAGAAAATCTTAGTCTATAAGTTTTTTTAGAAGATCTAACTAAGTCATTTTTTTCAATTTTTTCTTCAAAAGACTATAACAAGTAAGTTGAAGAAAATATGGAAAGAATTAGGTTTAAAATTTTTATTATTATAAATTATCCATTAAAAATATATTATAACATTTCAAGAAATGGTGAAAATTATTACCATTCAATGATAGTTCAAACCAATTAAAGAAAAATACAAGGATTTTTAATATATAATCAAAACCAAAATCAAAACCAATAACTACCAACTTCTTAAGAGATTAGACATATATTAGCTCACCCTCATGTACCTTTTATATCAAATTTACTACTTCTTCAATCTAGTATGTTACAACTGAATAGCAAGAAGATCTTTCTAAAAAATTTATATTTACCTTCTTTACTTATAATTAGAAGCATAAATGGCAAAAGATTAACAAACTAAGCACAACCTAAAGAAGATGAAATGTCTATGGATACTTCAAAAATCACCAAAGTTTGTGGAATTGAATTAAATTAAATTATTCAAGAAAAAATTAAAGATGTAGGTAATGGTCCAAGATGTACAAGTCTCATATTAATTGTAGCACCTTGGATGTACATAGGCGGACAAGACAAAAGCTTCATGGCCACTTTAGAACATCTATATAGACTACTTATGATCTTTAATGAGGCTAAAACTCTTGATTTCTTAATATTTACTTAATTTTTTGAAGGCCGTGGAGGACTAGAAGAAGGCGATCAGCTACTCGACACGTGATCTGAAGAGCTTGCATTTGCAATTCAGCCTTGATGGGGATATACGAGCACGGTAGTGAGGCTAGGTAAATGTTTGGGATCTGCAGCATGTAGAAGAAAAGCCTCAGTGATGTATGGTCATGTCAGCATTGGTTTCCGAGTGTAACCAGCTCGGTCACAAGTGTGGGTGATGGCTCTGGTTGCGGCTGGAGCCACGAGATTTAAAAGTTCACACAGTTTTGTAGGTCAAATTATGTTCAATGAGGTATCCATAATTAAGGATGTGGTTCTCTTGTGCAATATTGTCTAGTTCCAAACATCATCGCATTTATCTGATCTCGCGAACTACACATTGTCAGTGCTATGAATAAACTTGCATTTGTTGCCAGTGGTGAAAACTACCACCACCATTACCATAATAGCAGCCGTGTTTTTACGTTTCGTGTTGCGTTCCACTAAAAAATCAATTTCATGAAGAGAATCTTCACAAGCCCGGAACTCACTTCTCGAGCTATCAAATACGGCTTAGACTAGCGATCCGCCTACAACGAAACAAGCTGGAATGCAAGCCTCTCGGAACTGGGAAACCTCAAACGGCAAAAAGTACCTCACCACATGATCGTGAGCTTGAACTGGGCTCCTCCAAGTCCGAACACCAGGTGGCGAACTAACACAGATCAGTACCATGAAGACCAACCGTGGACCCACACCTCGGCATAAAGCATCCTCCCTGACCTGGGTCCCTGAAAAGCACGCCACCAGACTGGTGGGAGCGGGAGACTGGCCTGCTGAGGCCGTTTCACATGCCAGGCCTCATCGAAGAAGACAAAGACGCCTGCACATATAGCATAACTAATTCGAAACGCTCCGAGAGAGAGTGTGTGTGTGTGTGTGTGTGAGTGTGTGTACCAGATGATGGAGTGGGATCCAATTGTAGCCCTCACAAGCTTGAATGTATGCATGTATACATATATATGAATGAAGTGAGACAAAAGCCACTGTAGTAAAGAAGGATGATAAAATAGCGTGGTGAGCAAAAGACTGCAGTTTTTATTTGTATGTAAGGTAAAAAAGGGAATTTCATTATTATTTAAAAAAAATGGGCATGTTAATGTAACAAATGAACATTCTACAATCAATAATTGAAAGCTTCCATCAACAATGGTTTCAATTTACATTCTCATGAAGAAGGCTTTCATAGATTGGATTTGAAGTGCACAGAGTATAAATTATTTTATTTTATTTAAAATAAAAAATAAATAAAAACTTTGCCCATCAAAATAACTTAGTGTTGTTTCACTTGCAAATGCTTGATTACACTTCTTTCATTTGTTTTGTGTTGTTCTTCTTTTGTTCTTGTTTATTGCTACTTTCATGGATAACATGTTACAAAGAATGAAGAATATCTTTACATTGTTACTATATACTAATTAACCAAAAAAAATGTGGAAACTTTTTCAAGATCAAAATACTTTAAAAGAATAATTTTAAAGTAATAAGATGCCTTTGAAATAATGTTTTAGTCACAAAAGTTGTTAACATTAATATTCATATGGTCACGTGATATATCCTATGATAGTTGTAGAATCAATTTATATATAAGAAAGCTGCCACAAATTTTTTGAAGAAAACATTATTAACTCTACATATTTTTAGTTCGTTTTATTTAATTTTTTTTATTTTTTTTTCATTTAAATAATTTAGATTTTTGTGTAGTTATTGGCTCTTATTGAAGAAAATTCTATATATGAAAAGCATATTTTAATTTAGTTAAAAGCTAAAAAAAAAATCAATTATACTAAAATTTATTTACAAAAATATCTAATTTATATTTTGTGCAAAGGTATTTGATAGATCTTTCATATCAATTAAAATATGATGTGTAGAGGAAGAAAAAAATATCAATTTATTTTCTTTTTTTAGATATTTTATAACTAAAATTTAAAATAAAACTAAAAAAAATAGTATCTTTAATGCTTATTTGTTACTAACTTATCAAATTTCAAAAGAATTTTTAAATTTGTAATATTATGTAATTTATATTATTATTTATCAAACAAAAAATATTTTAATCTTAAGAATGTTTAGTTTTAAAATTGGTATTATATTATTAATGGTTTTGATAATCTAAATAAATTATTAATTTGATTATTTTATGAGTAAAATTTCTAACAAGAACTCGGATATTTTTTTCATGCTAATTACATGATGAGAATAACTTGAAAACAATCATAATAAAATTCTTATTGTAATTAATAAATCTAAAATTTTAAAATATCATCAGATGATTATGTAAAATTTCAACCTGATATACTTAACTTTGTGTCTTCATACATTTTTTATAAGATTTTTTAAACGGTACGGCTGTAACATGATTTAGTGATACTAGAATACTTATGCATATCTACATATATAGTATATAGACAATGCAATATAATACAAAACATGAATATTAATAATGAATAATACATACTCATTCAAAATCATATGTTAAATAATTATAATATTAATACCAATTATAAATATTATATTAAAATAGATCATATTTATTTTAAAAATTCAAATTCACTACTTTTAACATTTTTTTTTGAGTATATATGTGTGTATATATGTTGTTTCAGTTGTTGATATGATATACTGAATCATGTTCAAGTCTCAGATTTATTCTAAAATAAAGTAACTATAACAATCTTTTTAAATTTCACATATATTTTTGAAGAAAATAAAAAAGATAATACTTGATTATCAGGTATAAAACAATTTTGCCACCATTTGAATTTTATATACTTAATAATAATAATAAAAAAAAGAAAATATGTAACAGACTATCAAGAGAGCCTTAAGAGTTTAATTAACAAGATCAAACTTTATGAAATAATTATAGAAAATATTTATAAAATTTGAGAAAAAATCTTATAACAAAAAGTAATTATGGTATCAATATGATCATTCAGTTTTCAAATAGTGGTAAATGCATATGATGCAAGAAATATTAACAATCCTACATACACATATTCACACATGCAATTAGTTAATAGCATGTTATGTAGTAAAGAATCTTTTTACAAGTGCTTTTATTTTAATTTTCTATGCAAAATTGAACATTTTTTATGTATGTTTTTTTAAAATATAAAAATGATCAAATTTAATGATAATTTAAAAAAAGAGTTTGTATAGAATTATTGAAAAAATTAAAAGTATATGTAAACTCCAAAATAAACTAAAAGTCGATTTTTATTTGAATTGGCTCTTCGTAAAAATTTAATCCTAATCAGGAATTTATTTGATTTAAATACATATCTATTTGTAATTTAGAAACATCTAAATAATATATAATAATAATAATAATAATAATAAAGATGTACAATTAAGTAACCATAAAACTAATAAAACTCTAAGTATTTAAGTTCATATCATAAAATAAGAGCAATTGCCAATCTACTAAGTACAATATAAGAAATAACAAGATTTAAAAACAAAAAAACCTAGAATAAATTTTATTCTTCTATCAACTATATAATTTAAAATATAGGCTATTTTAGAGAATAATAATAATAATAATGATTTATTCTTGATTACTAGTAACTAGGGCAACAAGTATTTTTATTCTTAATTATCTAAAATAGTGCAAAGGATAGAAATCACTTGTTGATACTTGCATTATTTAATAAAAAAAAATCAAATAATGTAAAAAATCTAAAACTACTTAGATTATAAAAATATTTACATGTTTATTTATTAAAACCAATTAAAAACATTGCAAGAGAGGTAGATGTATGCATAGGCAATCAAGTCCATCCATTACCCAATCTATATAACAAAGAAACTTAGATATAAGACAAAGAAACCTTCTCATTGATCAAAATAAAAGGAATCTTCAACTAGCAAAAAGCCCTGAATAACCTGCAAAACGACCTCCAGTTAGTGTGCAACGTTTCTATGCACAAATGCACTGATTTCCGCTAGTTTTAAGTCAAAACGACAGTGTATGAAAATTGTATGAGAAGAATTGAGAATTGTGGTCAAATGTTGGTGGGAGCACGAAACAAGAGAATGTATCCCGTGAATACTTCCTGACTGAGAGGGTCCACCCTATCACGCCGACAGTAGGTCGAGGAGTCGCATTAGCATGCCAACGCCGAGAGTTGTGTGAGTGGCAGCGTCACAGACCTGGCTGCCAATTTTGAAGCTCAGATGTGTGAGGTCCGATGAGGACTGATTGCAACGCAGCTGCTTCTACTCCAGGATTAGCAACAACTCAAAGGGCTTAAAAACAGCTAAAACCCCCCTCCCCACAAACCTGCACTGCGTCCTATGGAAGACATTTTGCTGTGTGGCTCTCCGCTGCTCAATTCTTGTATGCTGGCTGTACCCAGGAAAAATTAGTTGAGAACTGGACATTACTGAAAGGCTTTACTAGGGGTCTCAAGTCGCCGTTCTGCTGTGATTTTCATCATCATCATCATTAGCCATTCTTGAGTTGAGTGGTAAATGATTCTTGACTTCAAAATATCTTCTCTTGCAGGAAAGGTTAAGCTTTCCAGAAGCCAGCTTCTGGAGCTTGTGAAAATGAACGGAGAGAGGTATGTCGGAGTAGCGCTGGATTACTCACCAAGAGGCAGGTACGCTCTGCAGTGGGCTGTGGATAACACCCTTCGGGGAAACGATCACCTCATTGATGTGGTTGTGAACAAGGATGGACTCGAAGCTGGTCCAGCAGCTCTTTGGGAAGCTTCTGGCACTCGTAAGAATCCTCTTGCCCTTTTCTTCCAGAAACCCAACATTGTAGTGGAGAATTCCTAAAAATTTAGCTCCCTACCTGGTTTTGAAAAGGCTCTCTGAAGTACTTGATTCGGATTCGATCCTCAGGACAACCTTGGATGAAACTCCCTGACATCTCCATTAACATAATTCTATTTGATTTCACCAATTTTTCTGGGATAGTCCCAGGTTCAACTTTCCACATCAAATGATGATCTGTGGCGAATCTTTGTAAAAATTCACATTTTGAGTTCCGCAAACTTCAAGTCTGCCATAGAGCCACGATTAGCTGGTTGAAATGTAGCCATTACTCTCAAGTCTAGCTGTTGGTAGCTTGCAGCAAAAAGTGAGCCTTACTCAAAGCGGTTCATCTTTATGTTTTATCAACTGTACTAGTTTGTCCCTTGAGATGAATCAGGTAATTTGTTCATATTTCATTTTTGCTTTTGCAGGTTTCATCCCATTAGCCGCTGCAGAGAGCCCACACAATCAACACGCATACCACCTGAAGATTGATGAGGAAGTAACAAAGACGCTACATGAAGCAGAAGCAAAGAAGGTGACCACTGTCCGCCCGACCCTCACTCCTACCAAATCTAACATCGTTTCTCACAGCATGTCTGGTTTATCACTGGGAAGCTAACAGACTAGGGTCACGCCTTGCAGATCGTCGTGGTCTCTAAGCTATACTGGGTAGACCCGAAGGAGATGATTTGCAATGCTATTGTCGATGTCCCGCTCGATCACCTCATTAAGGGATGCCGAGGCCACAGCAAGCTCAAAAGGTATTACAATTGCCCTCTTGCCTCCAATGATGTCCCATCACTTCGTGGTCTGTCTTTCCTTCTGAAAAAAGGTGGTTTGTCACGCCATCTTCATTTCCAGAGTAACAATTGCGTGGGGTTCCACATCCAATCCTGATGTCGTGGGTCATTTCTGGAAGTCTCTCTCTCTCTCCCTCTTGCTGTCTCTGTCTCTAGAAGGTGAAAAATCCGCAACAACAACAACGCTCTTTTCGCTGTCGAAATTGTTCATGCCAATTCTGAGCTGTGTCACGGTTTCCTTTGGCAGGAGCATCATGGGGAGTGTCAGCAACTACGTCTCGAATAACGTGCCCTGTCCTTTCACCATTGTCATACTGCCACCTAGCTAAGGAAAGGCGGTTTTAGGTTCTGCATTTTTTCATGTTCATTTTTATGTTTACTCTTTGTCTAAGGTATAGAACACATTTTTGATAACTTAAGCATTTCAGCATATATTCAGTAGGTGTAAAAATTGAAAAAATAAAAAAATACAAAAATAAAAAAATCTCCATGTAGTGAAATAGAAATCAAGAGGATTCCAAGTGTTTTCACACAATTTGGCCCATAAATGGATTTTATATAAATGTTTTAATCCATTGTGGACATAAAAGCCTACCTAATTCCAACTAGTGGTGGGTTACAAAACTAAAAATCTAACTTTTGGCACCTATTAATGCTATTAAGAGAAGTGTGGCACCTAGTTATATTATTATTCTACTCAAATCAATCAACAACTTCTGTTTATTGATAGTTCATGCTAATCCATTCTGAGTACAATGAATTTTATTTATTGCTCATGGTTTAACATTGTTTTAACCAGTCCACGACTTATTTACAATCAATAGAAATAGATTTTTTTTTATTTGATGTTAGATCTAGTAGCTTGACTAACAAAAATAGTACACCCTATACATTGGAGGGGCCAATTGACAATGGATCAACTATCTTAATTATGCAATATCTACTTAATTTTATTTTTATTTTTTATACATAGTCTTAAATGTATGTTGTTTATATATGTGTATATATATATATATATATATATATATATATACACACACACATATATATCTTATGGTATACTTGAAAACTAAGCTTATATTAATATTGACATTATATGAAGATAATAGTATCATCATTGTTGACAAGTTTGATGGTGAGAATTTCCATTGTTGAAAATTCAAGATAAAATACATTTTGGTTTAAATATCAATTTGTGAAATGAAATATTACTATAGCTAATAATTGAAATGAAATATTTGTGATTAATGACTTGCTTTAATTTGGTTTGATAAAGTCTTTGGTTTGACTAAAGTATCTATTTAATATCTTCTTATACAGCTTAAGATTTTTATATTTATGAGCAATATGTAAGATGCTGACTATGCATCAAATCACATCAACAAAGGAGAAAGTACATAAGAATATCTTATATAAATGTAAATATACATGATTTTTCTTAAAAATTCCATCAAGTTATTAGCAGTTCAAAATAGAATTAGAAATAAGACAATGAAGAAACTTGAAAATAAAATAATGTAATAAAATAAAGTAGCAAAATTTATTTTTGAAAGACAATTGTTTGATAAATTCTTGTATTAAGAATGAAATTATTGTGGAGATAAAGGAATGTATGAAAAAATAAAAATAAAAATAAATGTAAAAAGTTCTCCATGCATCTAGACTTTATGAACATTTGCTTTTCATAGACAATATAGTATTGTAACATATTAAAAGTACATTCCCACATGTTTCTGTGTATCATGAAAACCCTCATAAAAACAAATTGGGCAATAGCCTTTCAAAAGCACAAATTCTATCAAATGTTCACTTAGATAGTTGTGAATATACAAACTAGCTTTATTAATACATTGTGATGGTACTCCAATTATATTGAATATCCAATTCTTAATGGTTTGAATGTTCAAAATGTGTAAATACTTCAAAACATGATAAATAGAATGTCTTGATAATTTAATGACTTAATTTTTTTTGATAGAGATTATATATACAATTCTAAGTTGTTTCATGAAGACTACATTCAGAGATAAAATAAGGTACTTTGTATCCTTCACTAATGCTTTTCAATATTTAATTTTTAATCTTTTTGGATTAGTCTATTTATGTTTTAATAGATATATATGCAAATATATATATATATATATATATGTGTGAGAATGTTAAATAGACCCAAATTTTACTAAATTTATCCACCTATTCTAACCATCATGAAAAAAATAATGATTTCTGGATTTATTTCTCCATTATTAGATTTGCAACCAATAAAAAGCAACCACATTCATTGAGGCTGCCATGTATTTAGTAAAAGCATGAGTCTATTTAACATTCCCCTTTCGTATCAGTGAAGAAGTATGGAAAAAGATGGAGGAGAAATCAAAGAGATCTGTGAAGCCCCGATTCATCCTCATTCATCTGGTGCGTGCAAGCTCCTCTTCCAGCTGCTCAAGTTGTGTCCACTTCGTATCAGTGAGATAGTGGACACATTTACCTGCTTCAGATTCAGCCATGGCCGCCTGCCAACAAGTATTTGTATGAATCTTCTCGTTCCTGATTCGTTAGGAGCCCCGGTCTGTAATCACTTGCGGCACTGGGTTATATGATTCGGTATTGATAAGGAATTTGCTGTGAGGGTTGCGTTATTGATTGATTTGGGGACACTCAAATATCTTCCTTTTGCGATTTTGCTGATGTCGAGTTTGAGTGGCGGCTTTGCAGAGCAATGTGGTGTCGCAAGTTTCTTCTCTAAGGACCAGTGTGGAAACGAGTGCGAGCTCTGTGAGCCCTGTGGTTATACGTGGCAGGAGACATGCGACCTTAGGATTGTCACACAGTGGCTTCGGAGCCACCTTCCAGCAATCGTGCACACATTCGGCATCAAATATGTGCAGGAATCAGGTCAACGTCAGGGCGGCACAGGTGGTCAGTTGCCGTTCTCGTCTTCTGATGGAACTTTTCTGGGATTCGTGGTGTCTATGTCAAAGCATTGTGCATAGTAGTGTCTGGTAGACCTAGTAGCACTGGTAATGGTTTTAATATTGTTATTGTTATTAATATTTTTATTTCCTACCTTCATTCTTCCACAGTAAGATTTAAACTGCTATGGTGTCTGGACATGGCAGCCCTCAGAAGTGACGACTCAAGATAAGGTGACTAAGAAATGCTTTTTCGACATCGAAATTGACGACAAGCCGTGTGGTCGCATCATTTTTGGGCTCTTCGGTGACACAGTCCCTGATACCGTCGAAAACTTCCGTTGTCTTTGCACAGGTCAGGGATATCCTCTCCTTTTTTCTACTTCATCCCACCTGTATTGCTACATTTTTGGCGTCTTCAGCATCGTTTCCAGTTTCATCGTTTGCTGCATTTGTCGGTTGATGCAAGTAACAGTTTGTCGAGCATGCGTTTCGAAAGTCTGCTCGTCTTGCAGTTCCAAAAGTGAATGCGAATTACGACAATTCACTCTATGTTCCACCCTGTTCTGATGATGGTAAGCGTGTGGGTTGAAGAATTCCCTTGAATGAGAGGGATGAGCAATTGCGTGTTATGACCCTGACATTGCGCAATCAGTTGGTACGCTCTGAAATTAATCCACCTGGGAAATAATCCTACGTGATACTGCTATTAAATATCTGAAGGTCGACTATTGCTTATGAGTTGGATAGGTGAGAGGCGTTTTGGTTACAAGGGATCGGCGTTCCACCGTGTAATCAAAGACTTTATGATCCAGGGTGGTGATTTTGACCAAGGCAATGTGCGTTTCTATCCTTCGTTGATCATGTGTGTTTAATTTTTTTAATGTAGATCTTTACCTCATGAGCAGTAGCATTACTTCAAATTACAAGTTTTTCCATAAGTCTAACCGTTTTGAAGATTCTAATTGCAGGGCACTGGTGGATATAGTATTTACGGCAATACCTTTAAGGATGAGAACTTCAAATGTAAGTAGTGTTACAACCCACTGATATTTTCCCCATATTTGCCTCGTGCATTTCATTTCAAACTGCTCGGAAGTGTGCATTATTCTATTGATGGCTGACATGAGATACGGTATTGATGCTAAGTGAGGCATACTGGAGAGGGAGTTTTGAGCATGGCAAATCGTGGGCCTGATACTAATGGAAGCCAGTTTTTCATCTGTACTGCAGAGGTATGCCAAGGGTCCATTGCTTCTGTTTCACACCTTGCAATTGTACAATTTTGTTTACAGTGCGTTTAAAAGTGTGGGAAAAGTTGTAGTAAATTACAACAGAGAATTGGCAACATTAACAGTTGCTTTTGAATATTGTAGCATTTCAAGAGTGAAATTTGAAGTCAAGGTTCTTGATTGTTTGGACTTTAGATGAATTTAAAGTCACTCTGGTCAAGTTTGACAGTACCCTACGAGTACTTGGATTTCTATTGAAGATACCCAGCACAAGAAATCACATTTTATATACTAATGGATCAATGTTGGACTTTTGCAGACCTCATGGCTAGATGGCCGTCATGTTGTATTTGGACAAGTGATTGAAGGTATGGATGTAGTGAAGGCAATTGAAGGGCAAGATGTTGACCCTAACGATAGACCCATGAAGAAGTGTGTTATTGTTGAGAGTGGTGAATTGTAGATTACACAAAGTTTTAGTGGTGCTTAAAGAGTTTGCTTCAGCGTGATTCCACTGCCAACGTGAAGCAGCTTTGTTGTATGTTCTTTTTGTTGTAGTGAAGGTTAACATCTGCTACAGTAATAACCATTAAGCTGTTGGAGCTCTACATTATGCCCTTTGTCTAAGTGCATTCACCAACTTCAATTTCTTAAAACAATTCCTTGTCACTTATTAATTGCAGTGGTTTGGTGGATATTGTATTTATGGCAACACCTTTAAGAATGAGGGCCTTCAATGTAAATTGTATTATAGCCTCTTGAAATTTTGTCATGTGTATTCCATTTTAAAATGCTTGAGATTGAGCATTGTTTTATTCATGGCTAAGTTGAGACATGGGATTGATGTAATGTAAGGCATATTGAATAGGAGATTATAAGGATAACAAATTGTATCCCAATATCTCTCACTGGCTAATTTTGAGTACTAAAGGTGAACTTGGCATTGTTGTGAGTGGCAAATTATATGATATTTCTATACCAAAAATAAATTCTTGATGCAAATTTGATGTTTATTTTTTAAATTATTTTGAAGCAAAATAATTCAATTTAAGTAATATAGTATTAGAATTAGAATGGTTTTTTGAAAGTTGCAAAGAATAAAGATTTGGTTTAAGAGGTATAAGTCAAGTTATGGTAACAACTTCTAAGTTTTCAAAAGCTTATTCATTAAGGTGAAAATTTATGCAAATTAATACAATATATTTCAAACCTCTTACTAAGCAAGAAAAGATTTGATGTTGTTAAGAAGGTTTGTACTTATGTTGTGGAGAATCTAAGTACATTGCTTAATAGTATCCAAAGAAACAACGTAATCACACAATGAAGAGTATGGTTGCCAAAGAGGTTGATTTGTCAAAAAACAAGTTTTTGTATTTATGATAGGGACCATATAATTGAAATCTTGTACAACACCTAGTAAAAGTATTATTTTCTTATTAGATCCCTTAGTTTTACAATAGAAGTTTGTTTAGGATCAAAAAATTACAAAGTCTTTGCCTTATTAAATTCAAGAACCTTAGTTTGTTTTGTAAATAAAGATTTTGTCAAAAAACATGAAATATACTTAATGAAGAAAATCAAATATGTACATGTAGAAATAATAAATGATTATTTATTATCTTTTAGAGATCTTATCTATTAAATTATTCTTTTAGATATAATAGTTAATGGTCTTAATAGCTTAGTAATATTTAATATAATTAGATCTCTTTTTGATTCAATTATCTTAAGATTATTGTGGCTAAAAAAAAATAATCTCCATATAGTTTAGATTTTTTTAATCTCAATTTTTTTTATAGTTTAATTCAAAATTTAGTTGTTTAAGTAAAAAGCTTGGTTAATTAAAACTTTATTGATAGATACAAGAGCTTTTATATATTCTATAAAAAAAAAAATTTTTTTAATAAATATACTACACCTATTTTTGATAGTAGAAAGACTAGAAGTACTATTCTAAATCAATACTAAGATTATTAAGATATTTTTGAGAAGAAGAATACAAATATCTTTTAGAGTATTGTTTGTATGATTGTTCAATTGATCTTCAAGAAAGAATTCAATTTATGATTTGCCTACTTTCAAAGTTATTCTTGATTTCTTGAAATTCAACAATTCTAGGCTTTAATATCAATCCTCATTTCATGTACTCCTAGTAGTAGTTGTAGAAAATCCATATTACAATAATACCTCTATCTAGAAAATTTCTTGAATTGTGCTTACTCTTCAACTTACAGCATTGGGATTAGGATATAAAACTTTTACTTAAACTCTTCAAATAATTATTCTAATTATAAATTTTACAATACAATTTCCTAGCAAAACTTTGAGATCTTCTTATGACTTTTGATTAGACTTCCTACTATCTTTTTGTTTGCTAATATTAACTCTAATTCAACAAGTTCTTGTGATACAAATGGCCTAACTAGATTCTTAAATGACGATTGATCCTCTTCAAATTGGAGCAAGTTTTGCGACTATAAATTTGAAAAGAAAAACTTGCTTCTAGCTAGAATTTTAGTAACATTTGGCTTTGATCTCTACCTCTTTTCATTATAGCTAGAAGACTGTTACAATTTGTAAGTACATCCTCTAATTTAGAAGCTAAAATCATATATAAGACATGTATAATAAAATATAAAAGTTACAATTTTCATCCAATTTCTTTGATCTTGAAGTTTATGCAAATGCCTCTTTTATGAAAATCACACAAGTTATTGAGCTTGATTTTCTTAAGAGTTGCTTTCAAGAGATTATCAAATAATATATTCAACCCTCAAATTAAAACACCTATCCAATCTGGCTCAACAACAATATCAATTACTATACAATATGACAATGTGGCAAGCTCATAACCTTCTCTTTTATAATACTTGCAACAACTTGACAACTTTATAAAAAACCAAAAAAATATATCTAACTTATGACAACAATTACTCAATTTAATTTTGTAATAAGTTTATAGGCGTATAATGTAATAAGCTTGACAAGAGAATTATGATTAATTAAGTCTCACTTCCTTTCTATTCTATATTTATTTATATAGAGGATACATTCTATAGCTCAACTATGACATGGCAGAATCTACTTCATTCCATTAGACCACCAGTTAATAACATGATTTGTCATACATGTAGAAATAAATATCAACTTTAATTCACTTGTTTCAATGGTTCACAACCATTGATGATACCAACTCTTATCACCAAAATAAAAATTTGATAGATGAATGAATAATTGATCTAGTTCATAAAGAAAATTAGCAACAACATACTCTAAAATTTAAGTCATAAAAATTCAAGTAATTAAGTTCTTTTGACTTCCACAAATTGATCATGTATATTGTTGTCCTTAGATTCATTAAATAATTCTTGTAAAATCAACAACAAGGACAATAGCTTCATTGCTTGATTGTAACTCTACCTTATATATACTTGCTACAAAAATCCAATAAAAATAAAATAAATCACAAGAAGAATAAAATCTTAGCATATCAAAGCTACTCGATGGATCACAACTTCCTCCACTATGAATGTCATTGCATCAATCTAGCAAGTGACACGACTATTCAATTGCTTAAGCAACCGCCTTCAATTATATAATAAATATAATAATACTACATGCTTAAGTAATTGTTATATTGCAACATAGAATACATACCACAATCTATTGCTGATTGTAGCAAAGAAAAAAAAAAACCAATGCCCATTTTCTATTCTACAACATCAATCCACATCAAAGAAAAAAAAAAAAATAGCCAACACAAATATTTTTTTTTAGCATAGTGTGCTATAGCTATAATATAGAAGAAAGCATAGAACATGAGAAAAGTCTCTAAAGCAAAAAGTCCAAATGTGAAAAAAATTCAGAAAAATGAACAAAAGAAAGGAACTTTGATTGAGCAGGTGATTCTTTACGCTAGCCACCTTGACAATGGTAGAATCTCTTATATTTGGTTCAAAATTCCAATTAAAAATCCATATTATCTGGCCACTAATATATAACTATTATTTAATACATAACTATCCAAACTTGATATAGTACATCAATCTTACTTCGATCATATTTCAATAATATTTATACATAATTGCCTCTATACCTTATTATATGACATATTTTACTATATCTTTTATTATATATTATATTATATTTTATATTTTGTATATTGTAGAATACATATTAGTTCATTTTTATAAGATATTGCTAAAATAGATTAATATTCTATAGAATAGTCAGTTTAGGAGGACAGATGGTTGATTTAGTTATTAAAAGCGGTTAATTACAAGATTACAGTTAGGATCTAAAAATCAATAGAAATTATATAGAAGTTGTAGAAGTTTGTTGGGGTGCCAGACTGTGATAGTCATGAGTTGGGATTAAGCTTGATGCTACCTCTTTGTTTCTTTGTTTTCTTTGTTATTGAAGAGTAATGGATAGTTTTTGAATATTGAGAAAAGAGTCTGTGGAATAAATCAGAGATTGATTTATGAGTTATTGATTATGTAATTGGAGTATTATATGATTGAATCATATGAGAAGTTATTGGAAGATTGATTATGGATGGAAGATTATGATTGTTGTTTATTGAGAGTTGTATGTGTGTTTTGATAGAACACAATATTCATTATTTTGAGAGGTTTGGTGTCTCTCAAAATAAAACAATCAAATAGAAGTAACAAAAATTGGATTATATGTATAGTCAAATAAGGTCAATGAGGTAGCAATTCAGTACTTGTGATAAGTAATTTCCTTTAAAATGAGAGTTTTTATTGATTTGTAAGGTGTCAAATACAGATGTGATTGAAAATAACAATGTTCTAACTTAATCAAATATTTTGATATAACTTTATACAAGTAATTTTTGTGTACATATAAAACTATAGTTAAGGAATATCTACAATAGTTATCTATAAAACTAAATCAAACTAAAACCACTTATTATACACTACGAGTTCTACTACCTTTGTCACAATACTATAAAATTTTAAAAACTATGTTACCAAAATATGAATATTCAAATCACAATGAAAAATTTGTATATTTCATTCATACATTTTTAATATACGATGCAAGACTCTGCTTGATTATTTCAATTTGTGGAGCCGGAATTTTGATCACTCATTCACTTGTGTCCTTTCTGATTCGTGGTGACCACGCTGTCATAAGAGCATTCGTTTCTTTCGAAACAGGAGGTTCATTCTCTTCGATCTTTCAATGCAAACCTCTCTCGCTATCCCAACCTGTATAGAACTGTTGTACATCCACACTTCTTAAGGTCGGATGAAAATATTGAATGAGAATGCAGTTTGGTTTCTCAGGATTACAATCTGGGTTCGACAAAGCCCTAGCTATCCACACTGGTTGTATTTCACCTTCTGCAGGTCGAATTGCAACAAAATATCCTTCTCGAACATCTCGACCTACTCTAAAAGATGGTTGTTGGCGACCTCTCAGAGGACCAACATATGGATCATCTTCTCCAAATTCCTTATGATCCTCGCCATCATCTGATAATTGATCTGCAAGATTTTCTCTCACACGGATAATTGGCCAAAGACCTTCTCTCAGAATATTATAAGGAATGATTGGTTCATGCAATGCATCCTTCACGTTATGCCAATACACCACCAAATGCTCATACCGTCTTCAATACTCTCCAGTGACATCAGCATTGCA